TAAAAATACAAAATAAACCATACACATGCTATACGGCCTATACGCCTATACCACAAGAAACAGTATTTAAATTAGAAATATATAACTAACCAGCAAATGTTTTAAACAAGAAACAGGTATCTTAGGTATAACAATATTATAAATGAATAAAATAATAACCATGGCTAAATATACAGGCATGTTCTGCTGAATTTTAGAATCACTATCACTGCGCACTTGCCCAAGGTGACGTCACGTTCCCACCACAAACTGATTTTATCAATATTCAAAATGAAATTCAAATAATTGGTATACCTACATTGAATATTTGACATTTGTATWTTGAAAATAATTTTTAACTATACTTGATTCTAAAATGTATAATGTAAGTTTATATACCTCAATACTATATTATTATAATACATATTTATATAATATTATGTTCACGGTCTTATATACAGGTCGGGCAACTAACAAATGATTGTGGTTCGCTTAATGATGAACATTCGTTGTCAAAAAGACATAGAACGCCATCTACTGGATTATTTTTACATAATCCTATTTATATTTTTCGTTCATAATGGACTATTATACTATTATAGCACACTGCACACTAGTATACTAATATAAATATTTAAATAGGTACTTTTCTATGATATACGATGATCACTATATCTATGATATTGTAGCTAGTGTGTACTGTGGTTTTTTGTTTTGTATTTATCTAATATATTATAGACAAATGACAATAATACCAAGGTTTTTAGCCATATATATTACAATGCCGATGAAAAAGTGTTTATTTTACCAAAAATATTAATAGTGCTGATGTTATTCTGAAACGAACGAAGATATCTTACAAAATGAAGACTTGAATTTTCCATGTAATATTCATAAAGATGATATTTTTGCGTATACTATCAGGTACTATATTAATATGAGAATGAGACAATATACAAGACAATTAAATAAAGAGAAATTAAAAGAAAATTCTAAAAAGAAAAAGGTTTCTACATTTTGTCGTACTTAATAATAATAATATTATATAGAATGAATAAATGTAAATGAAATTATTATTAAATAAAATAAATTATTAAATTATGATAGTATTGTGTACTGTGATAATAGATAGCGTTGCAGATCATTTTGATTATTCCTTTCATCAATAAGCGATCCAACCGTATGCGTATAGATAATACCGAGTTGCCTGACCTGTATATAAAGCTGGCCACACACTACGGTTTTATTTGTCCGCGTACGGTGTACGGTGTAGTTCGAACTGTTTTGTTCGTACACCTGAGAACCACACACACTACGGTTTTATTTGTCCGCGTACGGCGTACGGTGTAGTTCGAACTGTTTTGTTCGTACACCCGAGAACCACACACACTATCTATTTTTCATCGTTGTTCGGTGTTCGAACCATTGACACACACTATAGAATTTTTTTCAGTGTTCAGTATTATTATTCAAAAAGTATAAGTCGTAAATACTTGAAAATTTCACCAGTTATTTAGATTGGCATTTTTTTACA